CAGTGCGCTGATTCTTGGTGTTGACGTCCCAAGAATGGTGTTCTGGCACGAGTCAGGACCGTCAAGACGCACCAGTAAGGTTGACTCGTGGCGTTGGAGTCCTAAAACCTGTGTTTTGCCATGCTTCCGGATTTTCACACGGTTGTCTCCCCAAGGGGCACGTCCTCAGTGGAAGTGAACCCTGGTATGGGGCCCATGAAGAGGGAACTTCGAGGGATGGCTTATTGCAACGTCGTTAATGGGTCTTGGGTTTACACTTGTCTTCCTCTTCCTCCTCCTCCTCCTCCTCCTCCTCCTCCTCTTCCTCCTCCTCCATTCCCTTTCCTCATAACCAACTTCTCCCTGTCGCACCCCGAGGCCAGTTGTTACGGCGGTCCGGGCGTTTCGTTTTTGGGACTTCCTCGCAATTTATGACCCTGAAGCTTAAACATTGACAACAGTTTCACAAATTGAGGGCGGGTGGCTTTCAAAATGTGGCTCTTGCCTCAGCGCCGCTCACATTCATGTCAAACATTTGCACGACCTTTACGGATTGAGGGCGGGTCGTTTTCAAAATGTGGCTCTTGCCTCACCGCCGCTCACACTCATTTCAAACATTCGCACGAGCTTTACGGATTGAGGGCGGGTGGTTTTCAAAATGTGGTTCTCGCTTTAGCGCCGCGCGCATCCAATTCAAACATTTGCAAGAGTTTCACGGATTGAGGGCGGTTCCTTTTCAAAATGTGGTTCTCGCTTTAGCGCCGCGCGCATCCAATTCAAACATTTGCAAGAGTCTCACGGATTGAGGGCGGTTCCTTTTCAAACTGCGGTTCTCGCCGTAGCACCGCGCGCACTCGCTGTAAATTGCAACATTTCCACGGACTCCCATGATCCGTACCAGACATGGCATTTTGGAAGGATTCCGGATTATGAGGGCGCAACAGTTACGCTGATTCGAGGTGTGGAAATCCCAAGAATGGCATTCTGGCACGATTCAGGATCGTCAAGACGCAACCGTCAGATTGATCCGTGGCGTTGACTCCCGTGAACGATCTGTTGGCATGCATCAGGGTCTTGAAACGGTTGTCTTCCAACGAGGCAGTTCCCTCACAGGAAATGAACCCTTGTAGGGGCCTATGAAGAGGGACCTTGGAGGGAGGGTTGATTCCAACATCGTTGATAACTCTCGGGTTTACACTGTTCCTCTCTCCTCCTCCTCTTCCTCCTCCTCCTCCTCCTCCTCCTCCTCCTCCTCCACCTACTCTCTACCTACTCACACTCGCGCACCGCACCCCGCGATGCGCGACGCACGGATATCTCCGCGACACCGCTGCGCCCACCTGGAAGGGCAATTCTTCAGCCCAGACCGCGATGCGCAAAGCGCGATGATCTTCATCTCGAAGTCCACGCGGACGTCGTAGATGCAACATACTTGTACGCGCCGCGTGTGGGTTTCGCGGGGTGGCGCGCCCCCGATGAGAAGGATCGTCTAGACCACTGGGCTGGTTGCGATAGCCGGATTGCTGGAAGTCAGAGCCGCTAAACCAACGATGCGCGAGATTTGGGTTTGAGCTCCTGGAATCGACCAATGAGTCCCAAGAGCTGGTGGGGCCCTCGACAGAGGCGACGACTCTTTCCTCTTGAGGCGCCCGAGTCTGCAAGACACGGGGCCAGTGACCTTGACCAGCCAAGTGGCAAAACGGACAGCAGGCATCAGGGCCCACTGGCCGCTTTGGTCGGCAAGCATCAGATAGCCCGTCGCAGAGCAAGACAGTCTGCAGAACGGCTCGCGAAGACCTGCCTCGTGGCAGACATCGGCCAGGGCACGCAGGTGAGAGAGGTGGTTGCCATGGGCAATAGCCTCCTGGTAGCCACGGAGGGCGAGGAGGGACAGAAGGAGGAGGAGGAGGAGGAGGAGGATGCGGGACATGAGGAGGAGGAAGGGGAGGAGGCGGAGGAGGAGGAGGCGGGACAGGAGGAGGAGGAGGAAGAGGAGGAGGAGGCGAAGGAGGAGGAGGAGGAGGAGGATGAGGAGGAAGAGGAGGAGGAGGAGGAAGAGGAGGAGGAGGCAGGACAGGAGGAGGGGGAGGAGGAGGAGGAGGAGGAGGAGGAGGAGGAGGAGGAGGGAGGGAGGAGGGGGAGGCGGAGAGCGCACCAGCTCGGGCCAGGTTCGGGCCAGGCCCCACATGCGGGAGAGGGCTGCGCGGGCCTGCCCCACGGAGGCGGGGAGGCGCCGCGGAGAGAGCGCGGGGGCGGGGTGCCACCCTGCCCGCCGGCGCCGGAGGCGGAGAGACGGCTTTCGGCGCCACCCCGCCGTCCTCTGCCGTCCCCCCCTCCCCCTTCCACTCCCCTCTGCTCTCCTCGCCCCTTTGTGCCTGCCCCAGCCCCTCCTTTGGTCTTGCCCTCCGTCCCACCCCATCGCCCCCTGGACGGGGGGGGAGGGTATGGACGACGAGGAAAGTAAGGAGGAGGAGGAGAGAGGGGAGCAGCAAAAGGAGGGGGGATGCGGGACGGGGAGGAGAGAGGTTGCAGGAGAGAAGTGGAGGCAGAGGTTGGAGAGCCGACAAGGGGAGGGGGAGGGGAAAAAGAAGCGGACGACAGACGAGGAGGAAGCCGTTCCTCCTCGTCTGTCGTCCGTCACCATCACCACCATCATCACCATCATCACTACCACGATCACAATCACCATCACAATGATCACCACCATCGTTAGCATCCCTCCTCCTCCTCCTTCCCCTCCCCCTCCCCATCCCTGTCCTTCCTCCTCCTTTTCTATGTCTCTCTCTCTCTCTCTTTATCGTTCTCGTTATCTCTCTCTGTATGTGTATATATATATATACAAATATATATATATATATGTGTGTGTGTGTGAATCGCTATCTTTCTCTCTCTCTCTCTCTTCTCTCCCTCTTTCTCTCTCTCTCTCTCTCTCTCTCTCTCTCTCCCCTCCACTTCTCGCTCTTTCTTTCTCTCTCTCTCTCTCTCTCTCTCCCTCTCTCTCTCTCTCTCTTTCTCTGTCTCCCTCTCTCTCTCTCTATCGCTATCCCTGTCTCCTTGAATATATATATATATGTGTGTGTACCTATACACGTACATTTGTGTGTGTGTCTGTCTGTCTCGCTGTCTCTCTGCCCCCCCCCCCCTCTCTCTTTGTATTTTTCTCTCTCTCTCTCTCTCGTTTTCTCGCTCTCGTTCTCTCTCTCTCTCTATATCTGTCTCTCTCTCTCTCTCTCTTTTTGAATGTACGTATATAAATATATATCCCTCTCATTACTCTCTCTCTCTCTCTCGCTCCCTCTCCTTCTCTCTCTCTCTCTCTCTCTCTCTCTCTCTCTCTCTCTCTCTCTCTCTCTCTCTCTCTCCCCTCATCCCACTGCCCATCATCCATGCGCCTCCCCATTCCTCCCCTCCCCCCCTCCTCCTCCCTTCCCAACCCCTCCGCCAGCAGAGGCGCGTCGCGGCGGGTCAGCCTGGATGCAGGGGCTCTTGCCCTGGCGCGCGCGCGCTCGAACGCAGCGGGCACCCGCGGGCTCGCAGGGGAAGGCACCGTGACCTTTTGCGTCGGGGCCCTCGTCCTCACCGTCATCATCCTCATCCTGCTCATCATCATCATCATCATCATCATCATCATCATCATCATCGTCGTCGTCGTCGTCGTCGTCGTCCTCCTCCTCCTCCTCCTCCTCCTCCTCCTCATCATCCATCATCACCATCATCATCATCATCATCATCATCATCATCATCATCATCATCATCATCATCATCATCCTCATCCTCATCCTCATCCTCATCATCATCAGCATCACCACCACCACCACCACCACCACCCTGCTCCTCCTCCTCGTCCGTCTCAACATCATCATCGTCGTCGTCGTTTCATCACCGTCATCAGCATCCTCAGCATCACCATTATCATCATCAGCACCACCATCACCACAACCACCACCATCATCATCATCATCATCATCATCAGCAGCAGCATCGACATCATAAGCATCCTCATCATCAACATCATCATCTTCATCATCATGATCATCATCATCATGATCATCAGCATCATCATCACCATCATCATCATCATCAGCATCATCATCATTATCATCATCAGCATCATCATCACCATCATCATCATCATCACGGCATCAGAATCATCATCAGCAGCAGCAGCACCAGCAGTAGCATCAGCATCAGTAGCAGCAGCATCATCAGAATCAGCATCAGCATCAGCAGCAGCATCAGCGTCACGCACATCATCATCAGCATCGGCATCATCGACATCATCAGCCTCATCATCGGCATCAGCATCAGCATCAGCAACATCGTCAGCATTATCAGCATCATTATCATCGCCGACATTATCAGCATGACCCTCATCGCCATCATCAGCACCAGTATCAGCATCAGTATCATCATCATCATCCGCATCATCATCATCAGCATCATCAGCATTGGCATCATCATACGCATCGTCAGCATCATCATCATCATCATCATCATCATCATCAGCATCATCATCTTCACAAGCATAATCAGTACCAGCATCATCATCATCATCGGCCTCGCCCTTGTCAGTATCAACACCAGCACCATCATTAGCAGAAGCAGAATCAGTATCCTCATCAGCGGCACCACCACCACCACCATCACACTCAGCAGCATCAGCATCATCATCGATATCATCATCGATATCATCATCAGCAGCATGGTCATCATCATCATCAGAATCAGCATCAGCACCAGCATCATCACCAGCCTCGTCATCATCAGCCTCAGCACCATCATCATCACCATCATCATCAGCAGCAGCAGCATCAGCATCATCACCAGCATCGCCATCGTCATCATCAGCCGCATCAGCATCCTCATTACAATCGGCATCAGCATCATCAGCAGCATCATCACCATCATCAGCAGCAGCATCATAACCGTCATAAGCATGATCATGAATATCACCAGCAGCATCGCCATCACCAGCATCGGCATCAGCAGCATCATCGTCAGCATCATCATCAGCATCATCATCATCCTCATCACCATCATGATCAGCATCATGATCATCATCAGCAGCAGCATCGCCATCATCAGTACCAGTACCAGCATCCGCAGCAGCATCCGCATCCGCATCATCATTATCAGCAACATCATCGCCGACATCATCAGTATGATCAAAGTATCACCAGCATCATCGCCAGCATCAGCATCAGCATCATCAGCATTATCATCAGCATAACCAGAATCATCACCGTCAGCATCAGCATCATGGTCATCATCAACATCATCAGCATAACCATCAGCATCATCAGCGCCATCAGCATCATCATCATCGTCATCATCGACATCATCATCAGCATCATCGTCGTCGTGAGTATCGTCATCATCGTCAAAATCGTCCACATCAACATCAGCATCGGCATCAGCAGCAGCATCATCTCCATCATCACCATCATCAGCATCATCAGCATCATCAGCATCATCAGCATTATCAGCAGCATCATCACCATCGTCATCGTTATCGTCATCAGCATCATCATAATCATAATCATAATCAGCATCAGCATCAGCATCAGCATCAGCATCATCATCAGCGTCATCATCATTGTCGTCATCGTCACCATCGTGAGCATCATCATCATAATCATCATCCTCAGCAGCACCATCATCGTCGCCATCATCAGCTCATCATCAGCATCATCATCCGCCTCGCCATCATCAGCATCATCGACATCGTCAACATCATCAACAGCAGCAGCACCAGCATCAGCGGCACAACCACCAACACCATCTTCGGCATCATCATCACCACCATCACAACATTAGCATCAGCATCAGTAGCAGCAGCAGCATCATCAACAGCAGCATCAGCTTCACGCACATCAGCTCAATCATCGGCATCATCGGCATCAACATCGTCATCATCATCAGCATCATCGCCGACATCATCAGCATGATCAAGAGTATCAAAATCAGCATCGCCATCATCAGCATCCGCATCAACATCAGCAACATCATCATGGGCATCATCATCACGGGCATCATCATCATCGTCATCAGCAGCATCGTCATCTTCATCGCTTTCGCCCACCGAGGTCCTCATCGTGCTCATGCTCTTCCGGCCCCCTCATCTCTCATGGTGCCCCTCCCTGCCTCCGTCTCTGCTTTCTCCCTTCCCCCTTCCCCAATCCCCGCCCCCTCCGCATTCACGGACCCCGCCCTCTCATCTCATGCGCCCCTCCTCAGCCCTCCTCCGCCCGTGACCGACGGAGAAGAGCTGATGGGCGAGAACTTGCGTTACCACGACAACTTAGGCGGCTTGAAATCATATTTGCCACTAGCGTTTCCTCCACCACCACCCCATTGTTACAGGCGCAAGCTAATGAAGGAACTGCTGAATACAATACTACACAAGTTCCCATGCATAGTATATTATAGCGTATTCAAAGATCATGCACGTCATGTTTTTATTACGGCACACCGCGGCGACAAAAACAGCCACATGTTGTTGACACAGACGTGACCTGTTGGGGAGGACAACCCGCCATCCTCCTCCCCCCATCCCCCCATTTCACCTTCTCCAGCATCCAACCCCCTCTTCCTTGCCCCTCTCATCCCACCATCATCCCCCCACCTCGCCCACACCCAGTGCCTATTCCCTGTCACGCCCTCCTCCTAACAATTACACAATATGAATACTACTTTCCTCTCTCCCCCGACGACCCCGAGGTCGTAGCCCGCCCCCCTGCGCGTATTTCTCTATACACATAGGATCCCCGAAAGGTGATCGATCACATGTGTTTTTCCCACCCGAACTTTTTCGGTGTTTCGAGAATGGCGCTCCCGCTACAGCATTGGCTCCATGTTCTGGCTCTCGACCCTTCCAGATCTTTGCTGCAGCGCTGACCTCATCTCTTTGTTGCGGATTCTCCGAATCGTGTTCCTGCTACAGCGTTGGCTCTCATTTCACGTTTGTGCTTGCTTGTGCGTATTCCACGCTGAATGTTGTCGGTCCTTCCAGAAAGGCGATCTCGCTTCATTGTCAGCTTCATGTCCGCACTTCCAGCTTTTCCACAATGGCGCTCCCGTCTCATTTTTTGCTCGATTTCCGCGCTCTCGGGGAATTTGGAAAGGAAATCTACGCCGTGGTAAGGGATGGGAGAGATGGTTACGTATGACGCGAGCGCACCTAGCTTGTCGCCCCCCTTTCTCCATCCCCCCACCCACCTTTTCCCCACCCTGCTCGTCCCCTCCCCCCCCCTCACATGCCCCCCTCTCTCCTCCCGCACCAATTCCCCCCCGCCGTTCCCCATCACCGCACCACCTGCACCCCCCTCCTCCTAACCTCTTGGGAAAAAGATACTCGCACCGCTGCTGCCCAGATCTCCCCCGGCGTGCGTTCTGACAAGAATTTCGAAGCGAATCCAGCCGCAGCCACGATGGCCTTCCTGGACGCCCAGAGAAGCGAAAACGATGGGAAGGGTGGCGGTATCCGCTTCTTGTCCTCCTCTGAAGCTCCCCCCCACCGCCCCCCGCCTCTCCCCTCTGGCCCTGAGGTCCGACGCCGCGAGCAAAATGCAACCTCGCCAAAAAACGCCGCAACCCGAGCCCCGAAACCCATCTTCGGGAGCGGCCAAGAGGGGGTGTCCAAGAGGGGGGGGTGCAAATCATGACCGGCGGCATGTGCGCGGCCCAGCGGGGGAAACAAGAAGAGGCGCCATGAAATCTGGGGCAATATCATGGCCCCCGCCATGATATCCACCCCCCCCTAGTCATCACCCCCCTCTTTTCCGCCCCCGATCTGTGATGGCCGCAGGGCCCGAGACCGGGGCGAAAACGCCTGCCGTGAAGAAATCGCAGCGCCCAGATCTCAGGGGTGGTAAGGCACCGGGCTGCGCGCAGACAACCCCTCCAGATAGCCCCAGCTGGCCCCAACATGACTCAACCCAACCCGAAGACCCAAATTTCGGGTTGGGGGGGGTAAGAGTTCCACATGTGTTTTTG